CATATGTCATTCTAATAATATCCAACCTATCTTGTATTATAATATTATGTGTGACATTTTTCATATCACTATTATTATTTTGTATTATGATTAGTTGTATATTGGGAGTTAATCATGCTGCCCTGCAAATAATATTTCAAAATTATATATATTAACATCTTAAATAATTTTAAATTTATAAAATTACATCATTTGTTACTCAATAATTCTATTTCAGTAATATTATCATCCATATAAATCTTTATAGATTAAGAGCTCGACAATGAAACTTCTAATATAAAAAATAATTTATTTAAAAATTAAGATATACAATTTGTGTTTTCTATAGTAAAAAACTATAAACTTTATTATATAATTACCTTTATTGTTATAGATGTGAAAATAACAACTTCTAAATTTGAGTTATTAGAAAATTTGATTTGCTCAAATTGATTCATTATGGAAAACCAAAGTGTGATGCTTAAGCAATTTTTGTTCAATAAATATAAAACAATATTAGACAACTACAATTAATTAATTAATTATCATATTCTATTCAATTGAAAAGAAATGAAATTCAAATAAATTTCATACAATAATTTCAATATGATTTATGTTTGATCTTCTATATGTAACTTCATGCAAATAACATCACTACCATTTGCTTGCCTTTCTTATGAAGTCTCAACATTGACTAAAACTCAAATAATATCTAAATTTTTAATAAAAATATTTTCAATAAAAATAAGTCACATATTCATATAATAAAATTATTTTAAGATAAAAAATACCACAAAGCCATTTCTTCTTTTTCTCGAATAAATTCTCATAATCAATGAATTTAAATACAAAAATCTCAAGATTGCTGTGACTTCTTCATTCAATTTCTTGATAATAGAATCAAGATGGAATTGAATCTTATAATTGTTATAAAAGACAACACCATAGGTGTCCTTATTATTTTTCATAATTTTTTTTTCACGTAATAAACATTCATTTCAACTAATTTATCTTTAAATCATAAAGTATTGGAACTTCAAATTATAGAATGGATAAATTTTTTTTAAACAAATAACAATTGTCAATAGAAATTGTTAAATACTTAAAATATCAAATGTAATAACTCATACAATTACCTTCTTATTGACCAAAACTATTTCAGTAGTTAGATGGTTTCTGTCACATTTTAAACCAAAATCATTTTGTAATCTACATATTCGCATTTTAATCTTTCAATCTTTTTTGTCAAGTAAAAGTTGATCAAGAAACACATATTTCATATCCTTTGCAATTGATTTACCCTTAGAATTTTTTTGAAATTTTAGCAATAAAATATTTCAAAATAAAAGAAAAGATGTAACATAATTAGGGGAAAAATATTGATAGTTAAAATCAAATACCTATTCATATTGAGAAAAAAAATATCTAAGCAACTATATTGTAACTAAATTTTGAATTTAAAAAAAAAAATCTTTAAAACAAAACAACAATGGAAAAAGATAAAAAGTTTAAATAGTTGACACTTGACTCTTCATGTTATTTTTGTTGGACACTTTTTTTTCCATATTTCTTCCTTTGGTTGCCTCTTCATCTTCCAATCAATCAATTACTTTTATCATTTGTATATTTTCATTTATTTGCCTCTT